CAAGTGCTGAGATGGTGGGCACCCAGGAACACAAACTGTGCCTGGCCACGGAGCCTGCAAGGAGGAGCAGAGACAGCAGTGGCAGTGTGGGGGGCCAGTTGTCCCTGTGCCTTCCCCTGCAGGCCCTGATTGTCCCTGCTGGGCCCCTGTCCATCCCCCCCAGGCTGAGCTCCCCCCAGGAACTGCCATGGAGCTGAAGCTGCTGCCATCCCCTCCCTGCAGCTGCTGGCACAGCCAAGGGAGCAGCAAAAGCAGGGCCAGGAGCAGAGGCAGCAGCAGGGGAGCCCTGGGGGGGCCGGGAAGCTCTTGTGTGGGGCAGGAAAGAGGCACTGGGCATGAGGCCGGGGCTGTGCTGAGCAGGCCCAGCCCTCACATCCCCCCAGCCAACGCCGGCTGCCCGGGGGGCGCGGGAGGGACCCCCAGCCCTTGTGCCCCACACTCAGCTGGCAGAGAGAGAGCCAAGGGACAGGGCCACGGGCAGGGCCACGGTGAGGGCACAGCCTGTGGCAGCAGAGCTGCCCAGGGCCGGGGGCAGCCAAGAATGTTGGTACCAGCCACTAGGGGGGCCGAGCAGAGCACGAGGCCTCTTGCAGACCCCTGGAGCAGCCTCCCACTTGCCAGCCCCACTGTGGTGGGGTGACACTGTCCCCTCCCTCCAGGACACTGCCCCTGAAATCTTCATAGGGGCCTTTTGTGTCTATTCCTGGTTGCTGATTCCTGCTGGGGACCTGAGGGAGCCTCTGCAATCCCATCCATGGGGCACAATCTCCTCTCCAGAACTTGACTCACTGCAGACTTTGCAGGGAAGTCTGTGCTGGCAGCCTGAGTATGTCCCGACCCCCTGCGCTCCCCCCAGGATATTTGGGACGAGTTCCCCCTTCCTGAGTACCCGTGGGATGGGGGTGCGATTGTTCTCCTGCTGTTGCTGTTGCTGCTCCGCCCCGTCCCTGCCCTTCCTGCTGCTGTCGGGTGAGCGGAGCGGCCACGATGGGAAAGGGGCAAGAGAAGCGAAAAGAGCAGGTGGGACCCCCAAATGGAACGTGAGGGGCGGTGGGTCACCCCCAAAGGGAGCTGGGGGGAGCTAAGGCTTGGGGGGCCGATGGGAAAGGGGTGGGAGAAGGAGGCTGAAGGGAGGGGGGACAGCAGGAGTGGGGTTACCGTGGCAGTCCCTCTGTGTCCCCATGCCTTGATCCCTGGAGAGTGGGGGAGGCTGCAGAGAGGGGGGAGCTGTGAGAGCCCCAAGAGCCTTGAGAGGGGTGAGCTCAGGCCCCCTGTGCTGAGCCAGCAGTCGGGGCCATGTTGTTAGTGCCAAGTTTCCATCAGGCTGAACCCAGAGCCCACCCATGTGTCAGGGGGCCTGATCCACTCCTTGCTCTCGTTGCACTGGGGCAGCCTCTGGTGTCCCCCCACCTGTGGGGCTGTTTGGTTGCCTTGGGCACAGCCGGCCCTTGTGCAGGGCTGTGCCCTTGGGGACTCCTGGGAGTGGGCGGGAGGTGTTTTTTGGGGGTGCCAGGGTGGGTTGGGGGCAGAGCCCCAGCAGTGGGCAGGGGGATGCGGGTCCCCCCCCGTGGTGGGGGTTGGTGTTGCTGGGTCAGTCCCCACCGGCTCCATTGTAAGCCCGGTGCCGGCGGGGGGGACACAGCAGGTTTGGGGCCCCTCCAGGAGTGCCCAGGGGGTGGGTGTGGAGCCCGGGAGGTGGGTGTGGAGCCCGGGGGATGGGTGTGGAGCCCGGGAGCTGCTGAGTGTGGAGGGCGGAGCGGGGCAATGCCAGAGCTGGGGGACCCCCAGCAGCCTGGAGGGGGCAGCATGGAGAGGGAGGAACCCCGGGACCCCCGGGAACCTAAAATGGAGGGTGTGGAGAAAGGGAAGCCTGGACAGTGGGGACCCCTGGGATTCCTGGGACAACAGAGTGGAGAACCTGGAGAGGGGGAATGTCTGGGAACGCAGCACCCAAAGGCGAGAGTCAGAGGAGAAGGGACCCTTGGGACCCCCAACACTCCCAGCATCCCTAAGTGGGACCTCCAGCATCCCAGACAGGGGAGACCCTCTGACCCCAGAGGGGAGAGACCAGAGAGGAGGAACTTCTGGGAGAGATTTTTTGGGCTAATCTTCATGTTTTGGAGTATTTTTTAGCTGAATCTCAAATTTTTGCAGTTTGGAAGGACAGGGGTCTTCTTGCTGTTTCTGAGGGATTTTTTTTCCTGAATCTCAGGGGTTTGGATTTTTCTGGGCTGAATCTTGGTGTTTTGGAGGTTTTTATGGACACAGGGTGCCCAGTGAGTTCTAGAGGTGGACTTGGGCAGGAGGAACTTCCAAGCCAATGTGCTCAGCCCTTGTTTTCCCCCCCAGCAGGATTTCTCCTTCCCAAAGTTTGGGCGGATGGAGGAGGAGGCTGCGAGGAAGAGGAAGATGCCGCGGGCCCCCCAGGCAGGTGAGGAGGAAGTCAGTGCCCCTTTGTCCCAGTCTTGTGCTGCCTCTGGCAGCCGAGCGTCGCCCCTGGCTGCAGGACAACCCTGCTGCCGTCCTGCCAGGGTGGAGTTGGGGGGATGTCCTTGGCCTTCCCTC